TTTGTGTATTTATATATTTTACAAATAATTGATTGATAGTAATTTCTTTTTCTAGGCAATTATAAAAGTCGTGAAGATTTTACATTAACACATGATCTTGAAAAAGAAATTAGTCCTGAAAGTCCTGTGCATCATCGTACAAAAGCAATTAAGGATTTATGTGATGCAGTTCTTAATCAGCAATGGGAAGATGTAGGTAGATTGCTATCAATGATAAATTTAATAATGATAATAACATATTTAAAATTTTAACTATGTTACTATTTTATTTGTAGAAAGCAGCTGAAAGATTATGGTATTTGGTACAAGATCTTTTAGAAAAAGATGTGCCACGTGAACATAGACATGTGACATTAAACTTTTTACGATGTCTTGTCCAAGGTCAATATTCTAAATTATCTTCTCTCATGAGAGTGAAGTTTTTTATGGTTGTTAAAGAACATAATATTCCTGAAGATATTGGACCTAGGTATTATGATTATTAAAATGCAATCATTAGGAATTGTACCATCTTAAAAATATTTTAATTAAATTATGAGATATTGTTTTAGATTGGAACTTTTACAAAGTTTAACAGAAAATGGGAAAGATATATCACACTTAGAAGAGAGAATGGGACCTTTTCTATTAGAATGGATGCCAGTTATAACAACAGGAGATGGAAGAAGAGGCGCTGAATTCTTATCATTGCTTGTTAATGTCATAAAATTTAATTCAGCATATATTGATGAAGACATTATATCAGGCCTTGTTCAGTAAATATTTTATGATTTAGTGTAATAATTGTTAAAAAAAAGGATTGTAAAAAAAAGTACTCTACTTTTATATTTTTAGGTACATTTGCCATCTATGCTATTATAGTAATAGCAGTGAAGTTGTATCTGGATGTTTAGAAGCTTTAGATGCAATTGTTTGTTACAATAATTTGCAGTCTGATTCATTGCAAACTTTCATAATAGCACTGTGTGGAAGTGTTAATGTTGAAACATACTGTCAAATAAGTTGGAAGGTTTGTTTTACAATTTTACAAAATTTAAATGTCAACTATGTTTCAGTATAGATACTTAAATTAAAATTTAGATTAATATCATATATCTTTAATTCTGGTTAGTATAAAAAGTAATATACATGAAAATAATAGTTTAATTTCAAATATGAATGACTTTTTGTAGATTATGCGTAACTTACTAGGTACACATATGGGTCACTCCGCACTTTATACAATGTGTCGTTTGCTACAAGATGCAAATTTTCAGCGAGATGTTCGTTTACTCAGAGGTGCAGTGTTTTATGTAAATATGGGTCTTTGGGGAACTCATAGAATTC